TTAATGTTAGCATGTCAGTTCACAGATCATATTCTTTGTAAGTGGAAGAGTTCTATGTAGAACAGGAACACTTAGGAATTCTATAGGCTCTTGGTAATGTGGTAGGAATTTCATTCTTACTATAATTTTCATATGTAAGTTTTTTTTGTTTTCATTTCTGTTTTTTTGGTGGAACTGGGGTTTGAACTCAGGGCTTGCAAAGCAGGCGCTCTACTGCTTAAGCCACACCTTCAGTCCATTTTTGTCTGATTATTTTGGAGATGGGGTCTTGTGAATTATTTGCTCAGTTTGGCCTCAAACGGAGATCCTCCTGTTCTCAGCCTCCCAAGTAGCTAGGATTATAGGTGTGAGCCACTGGCACCCAACCTTCATATCTGTATGATTATGTGATTCACAGGTTTCCAGCTTCATTCTAAAAACATATTGAGAGTTTGTCTTCTGTTTGCCTGCTGAGTTACTTTGTTACAGACACATTTAATTTTTAAGCAACTAGTGTGTTCTTGAAGCCAAACCTTTGTTACACAGCCTCAGGTGGTCAGGCTGTCTGTAGTTGTGAAAACGCATGCTTACTGTTCTGTTGAGGTAGTCTTAAAACAACCATGCCTGCATAGCAGTCCCTCAGTATTTTTCTGCTGTTTAGTAAACCTTCCTTTTCCAGTGTGCAGCGAGGTAGGAGCTGAGCTCAGGAAGTTGCTTTCCCCATGAAGTCGTTCTGTCAGGAAGAGGTGCAATTGCCAGGCAGCACTGAGTGTCCCTCCATGGTGTCAGACGCTTAGTGGGCGCCAAGGGAGCCAGGCCTGCGGGAAAAACAGGCCACTTTCTGGCATGGCCTCAGGGCCAGGCCTAGCCTGGGCTCCATCTGAGGCTGGAGGTGACTTTCCCGAATGGAACGCAGCTTTCCCACAGCCCTGTCCCCGTGTTCTTCCCCCAGCAGCTGGCAGCAGTCACTTGGATCTCAATGTTGCCCACAAATTGTTAGCTGTTTCGCTTTTTGGCCCCCCAACTTGCCATTTGAGAAAGGAACTGATGTGTTTCAGATTCGGGATTACGTTTCTGAGTGCAGCACATCTAACCATGCCATGTTATGGTTAAAGGTTAAGGCTTGATTCCAGAAAAAAACTGAAATAATAGCAGTGTCTGTAATTAACGTTCTCTGCCGTCCCCCTTCTGCTCCAAGACCCTTAGTGATGCCTGGGGCCATAAAGAATACCAAGCCCTATTACTCTGTGTTTTCTTACACATATTAATTTATAAATTAGGTGCAGTAAAAGACAACAGTGACAACTAATGACTGAGTAGAGCGATTCTGATGGTGCGGTGTAATAAAAGCTGAGCATGCAGTATCTCAGCATCTTGCTATGTCATATATCTATTGCAACTTCAGTGCACGATTTCTTTACTATTTGTTTATTTTTCTTTTCCCTTGAGATGGGGTCTTGTTATGTTGCCCAGGCTGGTTTAAAACTCACTGTGAAGCCCAGGCTGGTCTCAAACTTGTGATCCTCCTACCTCAGCCTCCCTCTTTCTGGAATTAAAGGCATGAACAGCCATGCTCAGCTTCTCTTTTTCTAGATAAGATGAACATTTTCACCTTTGCCCCTTACAGGAAGCACGTTGTGGCTTTTCTTCGGTATGTTGACATTGCCAGCATCGCTGCTCTTCAGCTTTGTGGGCATCAGTTGAGTAAAATAAGGGTTCCTTGAACATGAGCATTGTGGTACGGTGACAGTTGGTCTGAAAAGTAGGTTGTTACCAAATGACTAATGGGAAGATAGCGTGTACAGTGCTGGACAGACGAAGGATTAGTATCCCTGGCTGGAGGGCGTGCAGTAGTACAAGGTTTCATCATGTCGTGGACAGTTGAAAACTTAGGATTTGTTTATTTATGGAATTTTCCATCTAATATCTTCAGACCATCGTGGGCTACAGATAACTAAAGTCTCGGAGAGTTAGACGGTGGATAAGCCGGTCGCATTGTCGTGTGTGTTTATCTGTCACGTGCCAGGCATGTATCAAGTAGGTGACATGTTAACTTAGTTAACTCCCAGCAAACCTTTGAACAGGTTCTGTTGTTGCCCACGTTTTACAGCTAAGGAGCCACAGGGAAATTAAATAGCTTGCTTAATTTTTACACTTTAAGGAGCAATTCCCAAAGCTTGAACCCAAGCAGCTTGACCTCTTCTGAGCTTTTCTTTTTTCATTTTTGATACAAGGTCTCACTTTGTAGTCTACACTGGCCTTGGATTTGAGATCCTCCTGCCTCACCTCCTGACTGCCGGGATTATAGGCATGTGCCACTATAACCCACAAGTCCTTGCTTTTTATACTACATTCTGCTGCTAGGCAAAGCTTTCAGTGTTTTGTGGAATCTTAAATCTCACTGCACTGGAGAGTAGACAGACTTTGATGTCTTAAAGTACTCAAACTTTTCTATCTACATTGTAGGAACAATTTATTTTTAATGTAATTTTCCCCAAAAGATAAAAATACATTTCAATAGTTAGGATTGTATTCCCTCTGTATGAATTCAGATGTGCGTGTTACAAAATGTAAAACATTTATGCTATAGCTTTATCACATTATAATTTCTTATTAGGTGTATGTTACTTGTTATAAGAGCTTTTGATGTCCCTGAGGTTTGAGCTCAGGGGCCTCACACTTGCTAGGCAGGCGCTCTACCACTTGAGCCACTCTGCCAGCCCTTTTTTGTGTTGGGTGGTTTTGAGAGCGGGTCTTGTTTTTTGCCTGGACTAGACTCCAACAGCAATCCTCCTGATCTCTGCCTCCCAAGTAGCTAGGATTATAGACGTGAGCTTCCAGCACTGGCTATGTTATAAGATCTTAATAGACAGTTTTGTTCCTGTCAACGATTGGGCATGGCCTTCTGTTCACTTTCATGAAGGTCTTATGCCTCAGAAAGCAAGTGAATTGCAAAGCAAGTCCACTGTGAGCCACCGAGGCCCCTGCGTCATGATGTTCCAATTGCAGTGTGACTGGGTGCTGCTGTGAAGGCTGTCCCTCCCCTGACTGCCCCATGCATGCCATCCACTAGAGGGCAGGGACAAGGAGGGGAATTTCCTTCTTAGTCTTTAGACTGTGACTGTCCCTGTTGTTAAGGTCAACGCTAGTCCTTCCAAGCCCTTTTGCACATTGTGGAACCCACAGAAAGTCGTATTTCACCTGAACAGATGAGGCTTCTGGAGGCCAGAGATGTGACCCATTGTCTCTCATAATCCATTTCCAGCACACCTGATCGGAAGTTCTGCTAAGAGCATTTTGTGAGTTTGAAAGCTTGTTATGTATATGAAAGCACTCTGTACACTACAAAGTACCATTCTCATTTAAGACTCTATTGATAATTGCTAAATTGTTTATCTTGATATTTTGGTTTGGGGAGCTATCCTAGGAGAAGCAGGTGCTGATGCCAGACCAGGCACTGCAGATGAGGTTCTTTGTGTGACCTGACACAATAACAGACTGAAATGCTGGTGCTCAGGGGTCACATGGCTTAAGACTTCTTACAGATTGAGCAGCTGGCAAGGCTTGGTGGTGGTTCTGTTTGTCTTCATTACACTCCCTGCCTTCCCTACCCGTCCCAGTCCTTTCTCTTGTCAGATTCTGCCTTTCTGGTAAATTCTTTCCTGCACCTAGCTCTTGCCTGGGTTAAGGTCATTCTCCACCTTGCGTGTGCCACCTCACCTTGTGCAGAACTCTGTTGATTGTAATGTAGTCACTGCTATTGCTGCTCTGAAGTTAAGGCTGTGCCTGACTAATCCTAGGTAGCTTGGGCTACCCCTGGCTCATTTCCTCACAGACTCTGCACAGGCAAGGCTTATGTGTTCTTGGAATTGAACTGAAATTTGTCTCCCTGTGTCTTTCGTTCTGACATCTGAAAAAACTCAAAAGTTAGCTTTATGCTAGTCATTCGTACATTTGAGTAATGTACCCAGTATGGCTCCATGCAGTCTTTATTTCTCTGAGTTAAATACTTTTATTGTTGGAATTTACCTTCCTTGATTTTTCTTTTTTCTTGGTAACTTTTCTTCCTTTCTCCCAGTACGTGGGATCACAGAACTTAAAGAATTGGGCGGAACTAGAGTTAGCTTAGCTTTTCATCTAGCTAACACCGGTGATACCCTGATTAAGTAATTGAAACTGACACATAGATATTTTGGGGGTAAAAATGTTTGGAGTACTTCATTGAGGATGATGCGCAAGTTTAAGATTCAGTGGATTAAAACAAAGTCTTTCGTCTTTCATTCTGTTTTCAAATGTATGTGCCACCGGGCGTGGTGATGCCCACCTGAAATCCTAGCTCTCAGGAGGCTGAGGCAGGAGGATCTTGACTTCCAGGCCAGCCTGGGCTATGGTGCAAGATCCTGTCTTTTTAAAAAAGGTAGAAAAGGTGCTGTTGGGTTTTCTGTGGAGGCAGCACGTGTATGGTACAGAGAGACCGTAACCACCCAGCTCCACCCAACTGGCTGTAAATTAATCTTAAGTTAACTACTACTCTCTGTGTGCCCCAGTTTTGATATTAATGGGTTCGAGGTTTCAGTGAGTTACTACGCAGAATTATGACTGGCCATGATGAATATTCATACAGCTGCCGCCACAAGCAGCCCTCCCCTTCCTTTTCCTCTGGAGTTACACAGGCACCTCACCAAAACGTCTGTACCTGTCACATAAGCTTCTTGGTTTACAAGAGGCCCTGCACGCCACTGGGCACTTAGACCAGAACCACGTCTGCGCGCTACCGGGGTTTTACAAGTGCAGAAGACATATTAGCTTTTGGAGTGTTGCGTTCCTTTGAGACAAACCTGCTAAGAATCCATTTCCTATCTTTTTAAAAAGAGTAAATTCATTTTCCTCACTGACATTCTGAAAACAAAATACTAGCGGTTTATATACTGAAGAATGTAAGATTTTAAAGTAGATTTGATTTTCCTGAGTAAACTGCTTTGAACAATGTATCAGAGTCCGTTTTCTTCCTCTGTTGCCAGGTTGCGATCAAGATCATAGACAAGTCCCAGCTGGATGAAGAGAACTTGAAGAAGATTTTCCGGGAGGTTCAGATCATGAAGATGCTGTGTCATCCCCACATCATCAGGCTCTACCAGGTAGGATGGTGAGCAGGGTAGTGACGCTCCAAAGACCAGACAGGTCTGGTGTCTCCAAAGCTGCCTGTGAAGGAAATGTGGTGGGCAACACATGTGACTTTGTGGTTTCTGTGTTCATCCTGCTATCTTCCCTCCCTTCTGTTTCCTCACTCGGTCCTTAATGTCCTTAATGCTTCCCCTGGCTACTTACTACTGAGATCTGCCTTACCCATGCAGGCCCTATTCATTTGCTCTTTAAAAATGATGCCTTGGAGCCAGAGTGTTACTCAGTGTTATAGTGCTTGCCTGTCATGCACCAGGCCCTGGCATGGATCCCCAGCAACACACGCACACACACACACACACTTTCTAAGCCAGGTATGGTGGCTTGTAATTCCAGCCCCTGGAAGGATGAAGCAGGAGGATTGTAAATTTCAGACCAGCATAGTAAAACTGTCTCAAAAACACCAACCAACCCCTGTTCCTAAAAAATCCTGATGCTTTTCTCAGCAAGAATTGCACAAAATGAGTATTCAGGAGATGATAAGAAGTTACTTTATTTAGGACAGAGGCCTATAGCAAGATGAAAAATCCAAAAGCAACAGAGAATTTTGAGAGATAAAAAGATTTTCTTACAAGGTTATTTATGTTTTTGGACTTTTTTTTTTTTTTTTTTTTTGCAGTACCAGGGCTTGAACTCAGGGCCTACACCTTGAGCCACTCCACCAGCCCTTTTTGTGTTAGTTGTTCTTAAGATAGGGGTTTGTGAACTATTTGCCTGGGCTGGCTTCAAACTGTGATCCTCCTGATCTCTGCCTCTTGAGTAGCTAGGATGACAGGCATGAGCCACTGGTGCCCGGCTTACAAGGTTATTTAAATAGCTGTGCACCGTGCTGGTGGCTCAATCTTCTGATCCTAGCTACTTGGGAGGCTGAGATCAGGAGGATGTCAATTCTAGGCCAGCCCTGGCAAATAAGCAGGGCAAAATGGTCTGGAGGCCTGAGAAGTAGAGCTTCTGCTACACATTTGCGACAAGTCCTGAGTTCAAACCTCAGTCCCACCAAAAGAAAAAAAATCAAGAAACCAAGGTTATTTAAATATTAGTTTCTGTGCTCATGTTATGAATTGTTATGGCAAAGGATATTTTAAATGTGGCTTCTTGCCTCAATCAAGACCTACCTCTTCCATTCTTGTAGAGTCCCAGGCTTAGTTTTGCAGGGTTGCATTTAATTGTTTTGATAACCCAGAGACGCGGATTACACTCTCTTCACTGTCCTAAGAAACCTGCCTCTTCCATGCCCATCAAAATGACTCCCTAGCCTTACTGCAAAAGCAGTAAATCTGATGGGTGGAATGTCACGACAGGCAGAAGGGGGGAGGACCTTGCCCTCACCCTCACTCTCGCCCTCGCTCTCGCAGGCTGGTGGAAGGGATATTTTGGGAAGAGGTGGGGCTTTGGGGTACTTCTCAGATTGCATTGAGTTGGCAGCAGTGAACTGTGCCTCTGCACAGGGCCAGCCCTGCTCACTGCTTTCCATGAGAACATCCTCTCCTAAGCTCTGACTCAATCGTTTGCTGCCGTAGATGCAGGAAACGGCTTGACCCAGGCCCCAGATCATGTGCAGGACAGAGAATGCAGGCCCAGCACCACAGGCAAGCTCGTGTTGCTTGTTAATTTTATAGGAAAGAAAACATGCTGAGATGTTAATGTCTGTTGTCAAGGCTGTAACATTAGAGCCCTTCGCCAGCATCACTGCTTATGTGAAATGAATTAGTCAGTAGGACCAGACCTGTTGAAATCTATCAGACAGAATCAAGTTGGTCAAAACCTGCCTTTTGCCCAAGGAGCAAGCTTGTGAAAGCTTCCTGGTGGTTTTTTTTGGTTTTGTTTTTTTTTTCCTTCTATACTGGGGTTTGAATTCAAGGCCTCATGCTTGCTACCACAAGCTTCCTCTTGTTTCCTGAAGACTGTACCTATACTGTGGTCTCACAGGGGTCTAAACCTTGCCTTCCTTCCTATCCTGACAGATTGAACTCAACTATTTCTCTTTTTCTGGTTGTTTTTTTTTTTTTTGTTTGTTTTTTTGTTTTTTGAGACAGGGTCTCACTTGGTAGCTTAGTCTGGCCTCAAATAATGATTCTTCTGCCTCGTTCTCTCAAGTACTGGTGGCACACGCCACCGTGCCCAGCAGCTGAAGGAACTTCTTGACCCACCTTTTGAGCAAATCATCCTAAAGTGTTTGCAGGCTTAGGCTGACCTTACTCGAGTTGTTAATTTGTAGATCCTAGCCTTCAAATTGAATAAATTGAATTGTGCAAGTTTACTTACCTTATCCAAGATTGCGCTGGTTTCTCAGACTTTCCCTCCTTCACCCGGCTCTGAACAGTGCCTTCTTTAGGCCTTTAGTTTTCATTCTGGCAGGTGGTCTTCTGAGCTGCCAAGGTGAGCAGCTGACAAAATGTCTGCATATGGTACCAAGGTAGTTTTTAAGGTCAGGTTCCTCAGGCATATAGAGTGAGCAAAGGTAGGTAACAGAATGGGAAAAACAGCTTTGGAATTCCTGATAAGTTTAATAATAAAGGAACATTCACAGTTAATAAAAGGATTGGGAGAGGAGTACAAAGGAAATACACACATGACACTTACTTTCTCTAAACACTTGCATGTAATTCCAGCACATCTTCTGTCATATAAGTGAATATATGGAAGGATCTCAGAAGCAATACATGCAACAGACAATGGAGTGTCATTACCAGTATGTAAAGAGGAAGAGAACAGATCAAAAAAGAGCAACACAGTTGTTAGATCAGAAATAAAGAACGCAGGAAACCCCCCAAGATTGCTGAGACGATGGCTTCTCCCATGTGGCACAGAGAAGCACTCTTCTCTGTAGAGTTCTTACCCAATACCTGGGTAGATCTCAATAGTTTGGAGCCTCAGTTTACAGAGTGTCAAAGAGAAATGAGAAATGTGTATCCACAGTGCACAGAGAGTTTGTATGAATAGATCTGCTTATCATAGCATTGCCTGTGATCCTGCAAGGTTAGACACTCACTGAATGCCCTTCAATCCGTGCCCCAGGGCTGGTGGAATGGCTGGAGGAATGGCTGGAGTGGTAGAGTACCTGCCTAGCCAGTGTGAGGCTCTGAGTTCAAACCCCAATCCCACCAAAAAAAAAAGTATGTCTGCCCAGCTCCAGTGACTTGGCATGCCTGTAATTTTAGCTACTCAGGAGGCAGAGATCAGGAGGATTGAGTTTCAGAGCCAGCCCTGGCAAATAGTTCATGAGACCCTATCTCAAAAAACCCTTCACAAAAATAGGGCTGGTAGAGTGGCTCAAGGTGAAGGCCCTGAGTTCAAGCCACAGCACCACAAAAATAAATAAATAAATCAAGACCTCCGCCCCCCCCAAAAAAGTACAATGTCAATCTATATTCATTGAATTAACGAGAAAGACAGAGAGACCCCTGTGTGGGTTACACCTGTCATTCCAGCACTTGGGAAACTAAGGCAAGAGGATCACAAGTTTGTGTCCAGTGTGGACTACATGGCAAGCCCTATTTTACAAAGATAAACAATTATTTGGGCTGGTGGAGTAGCTCAAGTGGTAGAGTACCTGCCTACCAAGTATGAGGCCCTGAGTTCAAACCCCAGTACTTCCCTTCTCCCCCAAAAAAACAACAAAAACCCCAAACAGTTATTAAAAAAAAAAAAGGAGCTGGCTCTACATATTATGGCCCTGCACATCTAGGGTGTAAGTATAAAGACACAGAGGACAGGTCAGTATTGTCCAATATGGTAGTCACTGGCCACAGGTGACCGTTGAATATTAAGATGTGGCCAGGGCTACTGAGGAATGGAATTTTTAATGTTTTTAAATTTTAACAAATTTAAATGTAAAAACAGAGGCAGTTTATAATTATTAAGACTCTTAAAATGACATTTTGAAAATACTGGGATAAGTAAAATATACTATTAGAATTATTTTCAAGGGCGGGCTGAGTGGCTGAAGTGGTAGAGGGCCCGCCTAGCAAAGATGAGGCCCTTAGTTCAAACCCCAGTACTGCCAAAAATAAAAAAGAATTTTTTTCACCTTTTTCTTTTTTATTTCTTAAATGTGGCTACTGGAGCCAGGCATGGTGGCACATGCCTATCATCCCAGCTACTTGGGAGGTGGCGATCAGGAGATCAAGATTTGAGGCCAGCCTGGGCAAAAAAGTTAGTGAGATCCCATCTCAGCAAACAAGCCAGGTGTGATGCTTCACATCTGCAGTCCTAGCTATTTAGGAGAATAGAAGAGGATCATGGTCTGAAGCCATTTCTGAAAAATAGCTAAAGGATTGGTGTGTGGCTTCAGTGGTAGAGCACCTGCCTAGCAAGTTCAAGGCCCTGAGTTCAAACCCCAGAACTGTCAAAAAGAAAAGAAAGTGGCTAGTGAAAACATTAATGTTGTATGTGTAATGTGTAGCTCGTGTTTTTCTTGTGTAGTGCTGCTCTCAAAAGGATATATGATAGATACGTGTCACTCTGGGGGAGTGAGATGGAGGGGCTGGGAAAAGGGGAAACCCTTGATCTCCTGTTTATATACTAGGTGTTTAAAATGCTTGTAGTAGGTATAACATATATCCATAGACTTGACTTTTAGAAAGTTTTTTATTAAAAAAGGAAAAAAGGATTGACAACATGAATTTTTAAAAAATGTAAAAATAGGGACGAAGACAAAATGCAAATGAGTAATTCGTGTTCCGTAAAGGGTTGGTATTTTAAATTATGTCCCCATTTTAAATGGGCACTAGGAAGGAAAGTTGTCGGATTCCATTTGAAACCTAAGTCCTGGGTGGTTTCTGTACAGTCCTCATTATGCCTGTCATTCTCTCCAAGGCTTTTTCATTTTGGTTGGGATTTGAGGTTTTAAGTCATTGACTTTGAATGTGAAAGGTTTTAGTTTCTAGCAGTTTCCTTGCTGCTCAGCCTTAGGGATCTCAGCAGACTGTGAGGCCTGGAACAACAGAAGGGCCTGGTCTCTCAAGTGGCAAATGTTTCCAGCTTTAAGAATGTGCAGGAATATCTGTTTTGTCCCTTTCTTCTTAATAACATTTGTGTCTGTTCCCCCAAATTGTTTTAAATGTTCTTTAAGCAGTAAAGATTATTAACATTTCAAATGACAACAGCCAATAGTTTCTCTTCCTGTGATATCAGCCTGTCATTTGGGTCACTGTCTGTCACTTTCCTGCCTTTGCACCAGGTCATGGAGACAGAACGGATGATTTATCTGGTGACAGAGTACGCTAGTGGAGGGGAAATATTTGGTAAGTACATTTACCTCATTCTTTAAACAGCTGTTGAGCATACTGGCAAACTAAGATACCTGTTCAGTGCCTCTGTCACTGGAGCAGCTGTCACACCATACTGTCTTTCTATCAACCAAATAATCTTAATTGTTCTTGATTCACCTAGCTGCATTCCTCTCACAGCTCTCCCTCCTTAGCAAAGGGTTTTATTTAATTCAGCGAGGGGCAGTGGCAGTTGAGACTAAAAGTCTCCCGACACAAGCATTGCTTCTGATCACGTGACTGAGGGTCCCTGGATTGCCAGGCTGTAACTGAGGTCGCCAAGTGCACAGACCTCCTTCCGGTGTGCGGCCTCTGTGCGAGAACATTCCCACTTGAGGGAGTCTTTAAACCGTGTTTAAATAGAACACAGAACTGTGTTCCTTTTTGGCTGTTCACAGTTTCCCTTTGTGGTTCTCAAAGTTTTGGAAGTTTTGCTACTTTTTTCTTTTACACTTAACCTTAGCATAGCATGAGAAGTAAGCCGGAGAATTTGTGACTGGCAAGTATGACTTGGAGGTGGTGAAAACTGGGCTGGCGGAGGGGCTTCAGTGGTAGAGTAGCTGCCTAGTGAGTGCAAGGCTGTGAGTTCAAACCCCAGTACCATAAAAATAAATAAACAAACTAATAAACACTTGCTTAAGCATCTACCTTAAAAAAAAAAAAGGATTTTTTTTGGTAAAATGAGTAAAAGGGTGAACTTTTGAGTCTAAATTCATGTATCTGTGTTTTTCCCCCCTTTTTCTGGCAACTAACTACAGAAAACATTTTCTTTTTTATATATTTTAGGTTTATCTAATTTTTTTTAGATTTGTTTTTAAATTTGTAAGTATGGAGACTTATTAATCTAAAATATATTTAAAAGAATGGAACTTATTAGTGACAGCACCCTTGTGGCTATGTGGGGTTGTGTGTATGTGTTAGGGTTTATCCAGCAATCTGGATAACTGCTAATCCTTTCTACAAGAAGACCATGCATTTCTTTATTTTATCTTTAAATAGATTTGTGTATGTGTTTGTTTTATGCTAAGCTAATAGTGATGGAATGAAATTTAAAGTCAGAATACAGTGTTGGAGTCTACGGCCAAACAGCCTTGAACGTGCTTGATCTCATCTCATCTGGAGAGCCAAGCAGGGTCAGGCCTGGTTAGTACTTGAATGGGAAAATGTAGTGTTAGAGGGGATGCTTTATTTCACAGAAATTTGTACAGTGGAAGGTTTCAAGACTAGCATTATCTGACAAGCAGATTTGTGGGCTTCAGTGCATGTGACAATTGTGTGCCAGCCAGTTGCTGTGGGGTTGCTGCCTCAGGGTCATCCTAGACCCTGGCTAGGGCTGGGGCCTGGCTCAGGTGATGGACACCTGCCTTGAAAGTGCAGGGACCTAAGTTCAGCCCTGAATACCACTTCCCCACCACCCTGAAGAGGTCACTGATTTTCCCTGCATGAAAAAATCTAGTAGAAGATAGACATGCAAACCAACATGTGACTTGGATCATGAGAACGAACTTAAACCTCCACACAGAGCAATGGTGCAAGTGACGGGGTGGTTACTTTTGGAGACCATGGGTGCCTTCCTGGAAAATGTCCAGGTGATGAAATGGAAGTTTGTGAACTGGAAGTAGAAGTGTGTCAGAGGCTGGTTATAGAGAGAAGAGCAGACCTGCAGTGGGGAGTGCACTGGGGCCTGACATGCCAGACACTTGTTTTGATGACACTGCTTTAATTTGGGTCACAGGTGTACACAAAAGCAAATGGGGCAACTTCTGTCATGTTTGACACCTTTTTATCAGTTTTATTCTGTAGGAAAGAAAGCATGTCTGAAAGTCTTCACCTGCCTGTTAGCTGCTCCGTCTCGTGGAGACATTGGTCTGTGGAGAGGCGCTGGCCATTTGGAATCAGAGACCATGTCCTTAATGCTTCCATTGCCTCATGATGAAGTCCAGGGGACATCAGAGATGCCTGGTGTTTGAGGAAAGCGTAGACAGGATGCCAGTCCCCTGGCACAGACTCCATGTGGGATGAGCAATCATTAGTAATAAAGAGTGTTTTGAGGTTCTGAAGATCAAACCCAGAGTCTCATGCTCTCTAGGCAGGCACTCTAACACTTCAGCTACACTCGCAGCCCACAATACGGTATTACTTTAAGAAATACTATGTAATTATGTAACGCATTATATAATGGTAAGTATATTATTAATAATTGTTATTAACATTTTTTAAAAACACCCAGATGAAGAAGAAAAAATGGTGTATTACTTAAGATTGCATGGGGCAAAGTGGTTTGCCCAGCACGCACGGGACCCTGCGTGTGATCACAGGCACTGGAACAAAAATGCCAAACAAGCAAACAAAAAGACTGCACTGGGGTAGAACTGTTTCATGAGTTCTGAGTTTTAAAAGTATCTGTGTAAGACGTGAGAGGAGAGGCTTGGGTCAGGAAAGTGGGCGCTGCAGGAGGTATACCAAGGTTGAATCAGAGCTCTGCATCTCCTGGCTCTTTTACATGGAACAAGGTGTTAATGGTTCTGAGACTCGGGATCAAGGTCTGCAAAGCACAAGTCCATATCTGTGAAAGTGAAATGAGAGCTAGGGATGTGGCTTAGCGGTAGAGTGCCTGCCTCGTGTGTGTGAGGCCCCAGGTTCAATCTCCAGCACTGCAAAAAAGGGTGGGGGCCAAAAATCGAAGTGAGACAGCATGTATAAAGAGCACTAGCACATTCTTTCTCTCACCTTCATTCTAAAGGACAAATGGGAGGCTGGGCACAGTGGCTCATATCCTTTAAACCCAGCCACTTGGGAGGCAAGGAGCAGGAAGATCAGTGTTTGAGGCTAGCCTAGGCAAAAAGGTAGGGAGACCTCATCTCAACAAATAAGCCAGTTGTGGTGGCATGTGCCTGCAATCCCTGAGAGGCATAGATGGGAGGATTGGTTGTCCAAGTCAGGTCCTGGGCAAAAAATAAACTAAAAAAATAAACCAAAGCTTAAAGGGCTGGGGGTATATTTAAACTGCTTTTGCTGAAAAACACTTCTTACTTGGGCCCCCAAATTAATTAAATGCTAAAGCAAAGGTTAGCATCTCTGCCTCGATTTTGTATCTGTCTTTGTCTAAGCCATTTTGCTTTATAGTCACCTCAGAATCCAGGAAGGACAGAACTTATTTGTTTGTGTTTATAAGAAAGGGTGAAGGAAACTGCTCACAAGGAATGGAACAGCAGAGCCTCCGCAGGACAGAACACCACCAGGTGACAATGGCCTGCTTCTCCTGACCAGACTGGTCCCCTCAAGGGATGGCAGTGGTAACAACTTCTCCAGAACCTCTGCATAATGATCACCCAGGCCATTCTCTGACCAGGACTGATTAATAATTACGTGTACAACTCTCTCTCTCTTCCCCCAGTTCTTCTGCATTTAACGCTAAAGCTCGTATTTGTACCCCGTGGCAGAAGATGGGCTGAGTGCTTACTATGCCTCCTGAAGTGGTGTCCTGGGCCCAATAATAAACCTTTCTCTACCTTTTCCCATTACCATCCCTTATTTGGCATATGGGGTGAGTGACTGGACCTGACAGGTAGAATCACAGGTGTTTGGGCCTGAAACTCCAGTTTCCAGGTTGTTGCTCAAGTGATAGAGTGTCTGCCTGGAGCCTCAATACCATTAAAAAAAAAAGTGAGGACTGGTGGAGTGGCTCAGGTGTTGAGAGCCTGCCTAGGAAGTGTGTGAAGCTCTTGAGTTCAACCCCAGTACTGCCAAAAAGAGAGAAGAACAAATGCAAAATCAACTTCTGGCATGACTTTGAAAGAATTCTGCTGATCCACTGCTCAGTGAAGCTACTGAAAACTAGTTTTTAAAAATGAGTAAAAGAGAACCAGGAATTTAGAAGTCTATGAAAGTGGCCTGAAAGGACAAACAGCATGAAGAAACATTTACTCAAGAATGTCATAAGCCAGCACTGGTAGCTCACGCCAGGCAGAGATCAGGAGGATCTCAGTTCAAGCCAGCCTGGGCAAATAGTTCAAGAGACCCTGTCTTGAAAAACCCATCGCAAGAAAGGGCTGGTGGAGTGGCTCAAGGTGAAGGCCCAGACTTCAAGCCCCCAGTATTACCAAAAGGAAAAAAAGGAGGAAAAAAAAAAAAAACATATCGTAGCATGCAGTAAGTCTAACAGAGAGCCAGAAGTGCTGGAACCAGTTCTCCCTTCCCTTGGTGGGCTCAGCAAGGTGGAGACAGATTCTACTTTATACTTACTCAGCGTGTGGACAGATGACTTTCTTCCCAGGAGAAGGAGGACATCAGCTCTTGTTAGTCCTTGCCATTTACCTGTTGCTATGTCCTGAGGAGTGTAATTAAGAGGTGGGGGTCCCTTTTCAGCCCAACCCTGCCTGTGGACGTCGGCTGTAGCACATGAGAATGCTGGAGCCCAGACATTCTTGCCTCTGTTCCCTGCTAGGAGAGGCAAGCTGAGGGGATCCTTCTTCTGCTGAGCTCTCAGTATCTAGAGTGGCAGTGTCTCTCAAAAGTTTGTCGTTGTCCCCAACCCCAGCTCCAGGGCTGACTCAGATTTTGCCTGGGAATAAACTATGAAACAGACTTAATTTCTTCCCAAAGGAACTGACAGTGTCAGGCACCATGGAGGCTGTGACAGAGGCAGCTGAGAGAAGGTTGAGGTCACAGGCTCACCTGTCAGCTGCAGCTTTGCAGGAGAGACTTGGGGAATAAGACATTTGAAAAGAGCCTTCCTGGAGTCTGAGCAAAGATATACCACTGGTCTCAAAATCTCTGCCTTCAGAACTTAGTTATATTGTCTAGAGACCAATTTATACCGCAGGGCATAGTTTAAAACAATAGAACAATCAGCCAGCAATTAGTGGAGTTTACAGCTGGTTTTCTTTAGGAAAAGAGAGGAAGAGAAGCCCACCCAAACCACTGTGATCCCAGGATAACTGTGGCATCAAAGCTGCTGCTCCCAGAAGAGTATC